GTCTGCCCCCCCTGTGTCCGACCCCGCTGTGTCCGACCCGCTGTGCCCGACCCGCTGTGTCCGACCCCACTGTGTCCAACCCGCTGTGTCCGACCCCCCTGTGTCCGACCCACTGTGTCTGACCCACTGTGTCGTCCTCATGAAGCCATTCAGTGACCTAGAGCTGCAGCCATGAGTCAGTTCACTGGTAGAAAATGAACCTCAGCTATTTAGAAGCAACAGTCACCGACATGTTCTGGTTCCACCTTCTTTAATGTGAGGAGCTGACACGTTTCTTTGTTTGTTGATGAAAAGGAACTTACCATCGGGCAGTAACAAAATGTTCCCCTGTCAGATCTGTTGTCATAGCTGTGCCACAATAGTGACATATGTAAGGCACATGAGAATTCATAAAAATACACCTAATTTAACTTTGAAGTGTGTTTTGCCAGGTTGCAGTCAGACTTTTCAATACTTTTCAACATTTAAGTGTCACACTTACAGACATAACAAACGTGTAGTTAGGCCTACTTTGTCTGGTGTTGAACTAACATGTCATGTTGATGTCTGCAGTGCAAGGTGTGAGACTCTGACGGCATTTTACTCTCATTTGAAAACACAGAGAGGGGAAAACAGCTGCGTGTCCTTATAGACACTGTAGCAAGAGCTTTACAGTTTTATCAACATTCACATCACACATGAGTCAGAAACATCAAAATGGTGCTGAGGAAACTTTGGCTGAGTCCGTTGTGAATCCTGGTGTTTCCCATGAGAGTGAACAAGATCAGTCTGATATGCAGATTGATCCTCCCAGTGATGCTGGTGATGAACAAGAGATTTATCCAGTGTCTGGGTCTTCATCACCAACATTATGCACTCCGCCTAATTCTACCTCATCACAGCTATCGGACATTTCATCATGTTCAAGCCAGGCAAGAAACAGCGAGCCAAGCAACAGACCTTCCACATCTCAGATACTGAAAACATGGCCAGAAACATTCCAGGTCCCTTGGGAACAAATGCCACAGGAAATTTGTTCTGCAATCGCAGATGGCAAGAGGCCTAAACCAGTGGAGCGACGCCAGATGGTACGAGTACTCGCAGATGAAATGAGAAGGCATGAAGCTAACCACACTCGTGCACAGTGCCCAAAGAGTTTTGTTGATGGGTCACTTCTGTGTGGAGGTTAAACATCACTTTTGATGCAAGTGAAAAACTGCATTGAGAACGTGAACCGTGATGGAAGCTTCTCATGCCACCGAACCTCTACAGGCAAGAGGGGTCCAACTGACACATATGGATGTACACGATTTCAGCCAGAGCTACCCCCAGAAGAAAGTGATCACACTGTGGAGCAGCACCGCCAGAGACTGGAGGAGATCTACAGGCAGGAGGGTGCAGGTGGAGCAGAAAGAGCAGAAGTTAAAAATCTAATGAAGCTCACATTCTCTCTACAACGCTGCCATATAAATACAATTCCACCACCTGACATTGAAGATGTGAAAAGCAAATGGCCTTTTCTTTTCATGCCAAGGTATATATACGCACATTTTGAGTTGCTCACAGACATCAATGTGCTTCGTAGCTTGGAACTCAGTATGGAGAAATGTGGAAGAGCCATCACAGAATACTTCAGGGGAAAACCTACCAACAAAGATGTCAAGGATATCCTCTCTAATGGTGAAGATAATGAGATAGCACTTCGTGTTGTTCAGCTGCTCATGGCACACTTTGGAGAGGACCTAACCGGGCTGATCCTTCTTACAGATGTAAATTTTATTTTTTCTTTCTAACAATGTGTTTTAAAGGGTGACTCCACCAGTCTTAAGTGTCCCGACACCTAAAGTGTGTACTAGTTTTGGGGAGTACTACTACATATGTGAAAACAGTAGTGTATATTATTTTGTGGCTCAGAGGAAGCTGCAGGTAAGCTGATAAATTACCTCAATGTTGTCACACAGTTGCTACATTGCATTATGGGTAAAGTAGGTGCAAGGTTTTAAAAAGCACTTCACTAGTTCTTTGTTCTTCTTTTAACGTTTTAAAAGCAAATGATCAAATCAATACAGCAGAAACAGAAATATTACCTTT